AGCAGCGGAAATAGTAGTATTATATGCAATCGCGAGACAGTACCGGGGAGAGGAGAGTTATTTCTTTGGAGAACAGCATCGGATCGAGATAAGTAAGGTAACAGAACAAAAGATACAGCGTGCAACACTTGATTATTTTTTCCGTAATCATCTCTTCATCGATGATCGTCAGCTAGACGATCCGTTCTTTTCTCCTGTAGTAGCAACAGTCGATCATTTAATCCATTCGCGGATGCCGTGGACATCCATTAACCGGTTCTTGATGCGCGCAAACTACTCATAAACCTGAGTGGTGTTTTACAGCAGTATTAATATTAGTCTACGGACAAGCCATCATGTGTTTCAAAGTTTATCGGGGATAAATTTGCCAACGCATCGAATTCAGATAAACAAGCTTAACTGGTTAGGACATGTATTGTGCATTCCGAACGACCGTCTACCGCTTGGCATCTTATTGTTGATGCAATAAAGCAAACTTCACTGCTCGCTGCCAAACTTCCAATGCACACAAGGTAAGGGAGAATGTGTAAGTAGGATAGGAATTGAGCCTATTTTTAGGGATGGGAAAAGAAAGCAATCCTCTATGGTTACCATATAGAATACTTCGTCTTTTTTACTTTTGATCGACTATCTCCTGCGAGAGGTTAGGTCGGTTTCTTGGATGTCTCTAATGATGGCGGCCCATGCATGACGATCGGTAGCACGTTTAACGCAATGTGAAACCCAGTTCTGGTTCCAGTTACGAATTCCACAGGAATTGGAAACCCTGTATTTTCAAATCCGCCTTGATCGTACTAATCCAGGTCTTTAGTTGACCACCGAGTAGGCAATGCTATCCACTGCATGGTACGGGGGCTACAGCCTGTTGTGATAGTTGAGTGTCGGGCTTTCGGAGCACATGGCCAAACCACTGAAGGCGCCGGCGTTTTAGCATTTTTGAAAGCTTGTCAATGTTCAAGCAGCGCTGTCAAACCTCATCATTGGAAACCCGATCTCCCTAATTTACTTTCAGGATGCGGCGTAAACACCAATGATCAAAAACTTGGAGCTTCCTTGTATATTGTGCTCATAGCGACCAGGTTTCACAATCGTAAGTGAGGATGGGGCGGATGGAAACCTGATAAGCCCGAATCTTAGTGTTTAATCTTATTTCGCATCGATTCCGCAGCGGTTTGAGGAGTTTTAGGAACGCTCTTCTAGCTCCATCCACACGGAGTTGGATTTCATCCTTAGCCTGGCCGCTTGGTCTTATCGTGGAGCAAAGATACTTGAAAACTTCGTTTGATTCGACAAAATTCCCGTTAATCGAGAAGGATTGTATCATGGCAGAAGTTTCGGTCAAAAATGTTTCCGACGTGTTGATATCTAGTCCAATTTACTGGGCAAACTGATTTGTACGATTGACGACAGGCTGGAGGTTGTCCATGGTGTCTCCAAGTACAACGACATCCGCCAACTCGAGATCAGCAATCGATGTATCTGAGCCAAGCTGCACTCCAGGGTAGTTGATGAGTGCTTGTCGAATTATCCAATCTACGATGTAATTGAATAACACCGGTGATAGAGGACAATCTTGCCTAACTCTCGAGCTTAGGGTAAACTCAACCGATTCATCATGGACGGATGTGCCCGGGTTCCTGAGCAGTATAACTAAAAGCCTGATGAACTTCTCAGGCACCCCTTCGGACCGGAATATGCGCCACAAGGATTCTCTATCGACAGAGTCAAATGCAGTGCGGAAGTCAACGAAACATGCAGTGGTAGGCTGTTGGACCTTGTAGCGGTGTTCCAGAATCCTACGGAGAATGAAGATTAGTTCAACACAGCCTCTTCCGCGNCCCCCCCCCCCCTTGGTTTGGGAGAGTGTGTGTATCCCTGACGACTGCAAAGCGATTAAGCAGTATCACTACAAACACTTTGGCCGCAATATCAATGAGGCCAATACTCCCTGCTCATCTGTCACCCCAGCCACTGGGAGAGCGCGGGGCACCTCGTTTACGGGAACGCTGTAGCATGAACGTGATGTACCATTGTAAGACAATCCATGAAGAAACTTGGGAATAAAGTACTAAGTGTTGTCCCCATCGTCACTCGGCTTTTGTTCAAGGGTGCATCTCTAACCCTTGCACAACCAACTGCAACCTGCAGGGTAACAGAGTAGAATTGTTGGTAGCCAGTGACCGTCTGAACGGTTCATATGCCTTTCTGATGACAGCCCCAGCCCAGGATCCCAACGTGTCCGTGAGGTATGAGGGTCGGTCGCATTGCTCAGAGTTTGTCCTACTCGTAAGAGTAGGCAAGTAGCAATGGCCTTATTTGGTAGCGGACCACATTCACACATTACGATGCTGTCAGCAGACACTTATGGCCTACGAACGAGATATCGAACACCACAGTTTACGACAGCCATATCTACCAGTGTCTAATCATTTGATAAGGCCTTCACCCAGGAAACCTAGTATGACGTGATAGAGTCTCTGTGTCTGGATTTCAGTACCGTCATTCCAGATCATTCTTCTTGATACTTATCCTCTTTGGAATACTAAAATACAATACTGACATGTCCTTCAGTTCAGTTCAGTTCCAGGATAGATGGAAGAGGGAGATGACTGTTCTTTAATATTGCGGTCAAAAACTTCAGGAGAGTTGGGTGTTGACCTCCCACCCTCGCGCCACATTCCGATCACGCCTTAAGGATCAGGACAGCAGACCCTGACACCGGTATCGACCAAGTTACAACCCCGGCCGAAAAGGTTGGGGAGTTCTAGTGGTAAAGTTAGTGATCGAGTAATGGTGACAGGATGAGGATATGGTACGGGGCAGAATGAATAAAAAACAATGGTAATGGATAAAGAGGGAAAGAGTAAGTGAGAGCAGGTCAGGGAGGGGAAAGAGGAGCAGTGTGGGGAAACGGAGGGAGTGGAGCTGCCGGACAGTCCTGTTGCTCAGGCGGCTTCTTCTTCTCAGGCGGGTCTTAAAACTCTTCACCAAACTGGAATTGACTACTTTATTGGGTAGTCTGTTCCAGTCGTTCACCACCCTTACGGCAAACGATTGCTACCTTATGCGGGTGGATACCCTGACCTTAGCTAACTTATGGTCATTTCCCCTTAACGTTGGGTTCTCGCTGGGAGCTAATAATGGTTTCTCTTCTTCCCCAATGTCATCCAAACCCTTTAGGAGTTTGAATACCCCAATCGGATCTCCCCTCCTTCTCGCCAGTGAGATAAGCTCAAGCCTCTCCAACCTGTCCTCGTATTCAAGGTTCCTTATTCCTGGGAGCCATCTAGTGAAGTACCGCTGCGTCTTCTCGAGTACTTGTATATCCCCAACTAGATATGGGCTTCAAGCCTAGACACAGTGCTCCAGATAAGGGCGCACAAAGGCCTTGTACAGTGGCAGTACAACCTCCGGCCTTCTGGAGCTCACTGCTCTCTTCAGTTGGTAGAGAGCTCTTAGTACCTTTCTTGCCGCTTGTCGACACTGTGCACTTGGTTTGAAGTCAGCCTGAACTCTAATACCAAGATCCTTGACCTCCCTCACTACACCGAGTTCACCCCCGGTGCCTGGCGGGCCGATATATCTACNCTCCTCTTCCTGCTGATCGATGAGTCTTTGGTATTTGCCGATATTGAGCGGCAAATCCCATAGCACATACCATTCGCAACCAATCATTAGGGAGTCGTCCTTCCTCCAGTGATGCATTGAACAGTCGTGCAAGCGGTTCCGCAAGCACGCTTGCTAGTGGTTTTAACACCGCTAGATGCAGCTGGTCTGGACCCGGGGCCTTAGATGCCACCGGTCTCTGTAGGTGCTCCGTGGTTCTATGTACATCGCCATGGCTAGCTGCGTGCAATCTCCAACGGACCTACCTGGGGCACCTAAATCCCTTCTATAGATGGTCTGATAGGATGTTGGCCTTTTCGAGGCTGGTTACTGCTGCTACTCCATCGTCATCTCTAGCACATCCCACAGCCTCCCTCAGTGCATTCTTTGACTGCACGTAATTGAAGTAGGCTTTGGGGTTGGTTTTCGCATATAGAGCCAACCTCTCCTCATACCTGCCCCGGCATTCGTTTTGCACCCTGGACGCCGTTTTTCTCGCCACCTTATAGCGCAGGAAGTCGCTATGCGTTTCGGTGCACCGATATCGCCGCCAAGCTGCCTGTTTCCCATGGCTAGCTTTTCTCACCCTGCTACTCCACCATGGCGGAGCACCCCTGCGTCCTAATCGATTGAGTTCAACAAACGAAATACGACATTCACCGTTGTCATATCGCTTCCTTAGATTGTCCAGTTTGTGCATTCTGATCCTCGCCAGTCGTTTCGGCCGACAGTTTTATCGTTTGCTATGGAATTCCTCTTTGACAAGTAGGGTTAGAGAGGCCAAAGTCAAGGTTTTATTGTGTTAAATACACCGATATCTTTCTGGACCCAATGGGGGTATCCTCAAATGAATCTTTTTAGCAACACAATTTTATGAACAGTAAAGAGGGTAAACCCCACCATCATGAGATCCTACCTCTCGCTAATGACAGTCGGCGTCAAAAGCCCCGAACTAAATCATCATCATCACCATCATGGATATCTGAACCACATAAGGCCTCATTAGGATAGATGTGGTTTGAAACCAAACGGCCGGCACCTGCCGACCATACGAAGTTTGATGAAGTCCAAGGCTGCAGTAGTACATCTAAAAGCTCAAAACAAAGTCTCAGACTCCTTTATACCTTGTTTAATTTTCACCCACCCTAGTTTCACTCGGATGCGTTTCAAATAGATCAGGGTCTTGTTCCGTAACTAATTTTACCAGTTTTTATTCTAACATTGAGCTCATTTGTTCTCTCCAAAACATCATAATACCAGAGTTTTTCTCGCATTTTTTTCAAGCATCAGACAACTTCACTTTTGGGCGACTCTCCTAAGTTATGATATGTCAACTTCATCGATGACTCCATGTCGAGTCTAGTTAATATTTTACTAGGCAGCATCCTCAGCATCACCATCCACTTCTATCCCTTGCATGGTCAAGTTCCACATGCACGTGAACATGGTGATCGCGACTGCCTTGTTTGGTGGTTAGTTAGATTGACACACCACAACGCTTCGGTGGACATGTGTTTTTATTGTTATGGGGAGATTGTTTGTCGAATAAGATTTCGCTACACGTCTTCCGTATCGTCACTCAATCCGAGATCGCTCATTCATTGAAGCTCTGCCGATCTTCTCATAATTAACCATATAAGTGACCG